CCACACAATTAAAGCAATTCCACACAATTAAAGCAATTCCACACAATTAAAGCAATTCCACACAAATAAAGCAATTCTACTCAATTAAAGCAATTCTCCACAATTAAAGCACTTATAAACAATTAAAGCAATTCTATACACTAATGGTGATTATCTACAGTTACAATAATGCACTACTATCCAGGCCGTTCGTCACACTATAAGCTATTGCTCACCATACCAGTGATGCTCTACGGTGACATGCATCATCCTCAAGTCACCGTTTGGGTCTTTCTGGCATTCAAAATATCGTTTTCGTTGGGCATTTAAAATATCGTCTAACATTCTAAATGCCGTCAAGCAAAAATAAATACTTTGGCCCATAATTTTAATTTTTAGTGAGAACAGTTTCAGCGCGTTGGTTTTAAATTTTTTTATTTTCAAAATTTTGCTCGAATATTTTAAGAATTTTTCTCAGAATTTTATACTTCCGACGGAGGACGATAAATTTTGCCGCATGTCGAGGACGTTGTCAAGAGACACGATCTGACGACGAGAAGTTAGTGTAAGAAAAATTCGCCTTTTTTTAGTTGTATTTAATACAAATATTTTATATTTAATTTAAATTGTGGGGTCTATCAGCACACGATGTGTAATGAAATATAACTTAAGTTGAGGCAATGGTCTAATCATTGATAGTTATTTGGTATTGTCCAGCATCACAAATTTATTAAATATTGTTGTGCAGATTATTTATTCAGCATCATTATGAGTTCACACATGAAGGTTTAAGTAAGTCTGGGAAGTTGAATTATTAAAATAAATCAGCCAAAAATATTATTGCCGATGAGTAAAATTGTACATTTGCGTTCACTTTGTAAATGTATTACTTACTTCCGAATGTATTAAATTACACAAATAATCAAGGATATATTTTTAGTTATTTTGGTGAGAAAGATTTTACTTCGCAAAAGAATGGCAAGCGATGCGTTCAATTCGAATTCTGTAATATAACGCACACAATAAAGAACTTGTACGAAACATGATGAAGTGGAACTTTCACTTTTCAACCAATTTGTATAAAAAATAATAATTCACATTATTATCATCTATGCAGAAATTCTTTTTATGCACCAGACGTCGATCTCGAAGTAAAACCAGAGCTGTAAATAATCCAGCAACTACTCTCATAAATGCAGCGTCAGTACGTGGTCCAGCGCTGAGAAGCTTTCCAGATATTCCGCTGGAATTCTTCCGCTATGATTTCCCTTATGTTGAAATGCCTTCGAAACTTAGCAAGCTGCGCGGCAATGATAAATTCTCGGTTTCGCTATCCGCTCGGAGGCAAAATTTTTACTGCTTTGGTAAAAATCATAGGAGTGTTACGAGTGGCCAGCTAAAAGGCTTATGATAATATACCATAAATCTTTAAAATAGCGATAAAACTTACCATTGATGATAGCATGAGTTGGTTGCCAGAATGTGATTTATTTTCAGGAGAAAAGAGACTCGATTTTGGGACTTGTGTCCTACCAATTTGTGAAATGGGCTGCTGACCAGTTTGTGCAAGAGGATTACCGACCAGTTTGTACTAGGTGTTTCCGACCAGTTTGTGCAAGTGGTTACTAAGGAGCAACAGTGGCCACTGACGAATCAAGATGTTGGAGCTCAAGAGCGCGTTCATGATGTAAGGTCGTTAGCTTTCTGCCAATTTTGCCTTTGATCTGTAGCTCAATTGGAAGATCAATCTTTTATTTTCTCTTTCATTCGACGGATCAAATGAGGCTAAGCGTGCAATAAATCACTATCAATTCATTTCGCACTATTGCAAGATTCTTCATCATTGTTTACCCTTCGAAAAAGTTCGGCATTCGGAATTATTCGCGCCCAATTAACAAAGGTCGTTCACCCAAACTACGAATCGCCGCTTCAATTCAAAAGTCAATACAAACAAAGCTCTGCCTGCATTGATCTTCATTTCAATACAAATTGAATCCATGTTTGTATCTATACGTCAACGCAACATTTGATTTCGTAAGCACCAGATTGTTATAGTTTCCATTCAGGCTCGTAATTAATATATCAAAATATCATCCTTCAAAATACAAGGCTTGTAAAGTTCGCTTGCAAACCTGTCATTCCACAGAAAAATCTTTTCCAGTATGGCCAATGCGAGGCCAACGATCGGCCGCCGTTGATTCGGCTGTAATTTTCATCAATGGTTCACCTGTGCATTATTCATCGGGTAAATATTAGCACACTGTCCCGATCTGCAAATGTTGCACAACGTTTGTTGAAAATTCGCGAGCAGAAGCAGATGTGCAAGCATGTTTGCTGGAGCGTCGCGTCGCTAACATAATGCACCACAAAACTCATGTCAACATAGAGCATGCATCTCTTTGAAAAGAATGTCGCTTCTTTACTGAATATATAATGGCAGGGATAAATTAGAGAGCAATACTCCATGCCTGAGCAGCTTTGGGGGGAACGGAGCCCCAGGGCTCGAGTTCTAAGCAAGAATATTATGGGACGAAAAAAAATAGTTTTCCAACCCGTGTGCACGTGTGTGTTTCTGATGACGTAATTCGAAAACGTCAACACACCAGATGCAACTCATATACGATAATTTAGACACATATTCATGACTCTTATGACTAATTTCTCTAATTTAGACACATATTCATGACTCTTAGACACATATTCATGATAGTTATTCAATTGTAAAATTTTCATTTAAAACACCTGAGAGACTCAAGGCAAAATTTCGTTCTTGTCAACTGACCAGCTCTTAAATTTAATAAATTATTCACTAATTATTAAAAGGAAGTTCAGCCACAGTTTTCAAATTATTGCAAGCCAGCTCCTTTCCTTGTAAATAAACAGGCAAAGTTCATTTTAATATAAATTTATTCATATTGAATTCAGTATGAATCATACCATTCATTTCAGAATTCCTTATCCTTTCGTTTGTCGTTTTCTTTGCCATGGTATTCGCTCATTTATTTTTCCAGGTCGTTCAGAGCCAAAAACTTCTCACGCGAGATTGCAGTGCGTGTTGCCCAGGCAGCCAACTCAATTACAATTAAAGTAAAAAACTAGTAAATGAAAACTATAGGAATAGGAAAAATTAAGTATAGCTACAATGTAGCGGGCCAGCCTAGGCCGCACTTAAAACGATGTTAGTTTTATTCAGCCGCCGCACCTCTCTGACAAAGACTAAGGAGAAAAAGTAAGAGTAGATAGTGTTCTCGAGAAGCAGCTGATTAGGAGTAGGGAGCCGACTTTAGCCCGAGCCACTACATTTTGTAATTTCTGTAAATATCTGTGTCTAATTTTCTGTATAATGTCCGTACTTGTAAACTTGAATGAAACAAGTTTGTAGACCTATGTCGTGGCTGCGAGTTCACCATGAACTGTAAATATACCTTTTGTTCTTTGAAGATTTGCTGAGCCACTTTGATTAATCCTCGTACGCTAGGGCCCGTAGGCAGAGACCCAGTAACTTTATGGTGTGCTGGGTAGTTGTCCCGCAACAATGCAGACGATGCACAAGTCATGCAGACGATGCAGAAGTTATGCAGACGATGCAGAAGTTATGCAGACGATGCACAAGTCATGCAGACGATGCAGAAGTTATGTAGACGATGCACAAGTCATGCAGACGATGCAGAAGTTATGCAGACGATGCACAAGTTATGCAGACGATGCACAAGTTATGCAGACGATGCACAAGTTATGCAGACGATGCACAAGTTATGCAGACGATGCACAAGTTATGCAGACGATGCACAAGTTAT